TTTCTTTGACAAAAAACTTTAGTAAATATTTTTTCCTATGATTAATAAACTTTTTACTTTCTTTTACATATGTATTTGTTATTATTAATGCTGTGGGTAAGTTAGAAATAAAAATATCAGTATTACAATAGAAAAAATAAAGTTTCATTTATTAAAATGAGAGTAAGAAATCTACAAGGTTTTCGTAGAACTTCTAGCAGATATCTTTATCGAAAGGCAGTGTACAGATGATCAGATAGGGCAGATAGGTTAGAACCTCAGCATCCCCAGCAATGCAGGAACTCCGTCACGCAAAATTTCTTCGCGCGAAGTCCCTGCGGAACATATTCCCTGCTACCAGGACAGAATCAGGGAGAGGCTGCTTTTCTATACCTTGCAAAGAAGATTCGCAGGCCTCTTCCTCATCCAAATCAGAATCTGTAAGAAAATTACTTTAAGTTAAAACTATTTAATGAGAAAGTTTCAATGAATTTTATATTCTTACCATAGCCATCATTGTCATGGTGTTCCTTCCTGATGTTAAACAAAACAGCCATGGCAATGATGGCTGTTTTCGCTGTCGGAAGGAATATCTGCATGACATTGCGAAGGGCTCTAAACATGCCCTTCCATTCCCCAAAGCAGTGCTCTACAGTTATCCGCGTAGATTTATGGGACCTGTTATACCTCTGTTCAGGTTGAGTTTGAGGAAATTGAATTGGTGTCAGAAAGTATGGCTTGCATGGGTATCCAGTATCCCCAAGCAAGATTCCCTTTATCCTCGAGGCCTATTAAATAAGAATAAATATATTATCACTTCATTGATTACTTAATATCAAACACACTTTTAATAAATGAAAAAATGCTTATCCCAAACTCTTCCTTCAGAGAGCACGAGTCCCATATACGTGCATCATGAACACTGCCTCGCCATTTAGCAACAATATTCAGAATTCGTCTCTGAGTATCACACACTACTTGCACGTTGATAGAATAATAACCCATACGGTTAACATACAACATAGCTCACTCCCGACTGGGGTTTTTTATTGCAATGTGGGTGCAATGAATACAGCCCACAACCCCATGAAAGTGATCTATGTTGTAAAACTCCATTTTAAGAGCTTTCATTCCAGCTGGATACACAATAAATCGTGGAAGCAGCGCAGCAATAGCATCAAATACTTTTGCAACTATTCTGGATACGCTAGGCTGGGAAATGCCATGCAGATCTCCTAAAAAGTATAATAATTTTACTGATATCATGCAAATGACAGAGTATTACAATAATTTATTTTAATATTAATTTTTACAACGAGCATTGACTTATGGTAATAACTCACCTAATTCTGTCTGGTAGCATCCTTTAGCATAAAACCGCAGGGTTACAAGTACCTGCATTGCTGGGGATATGTGGTTGTGGTGACGGGCATGAGACACTAACCTATCTTCCACTAAACTGATCACAAATCGTACACTGTCTTTCGATAAGCTATATCTGTTTCGAAATTCACGATCACTAAACAATTCAAACGGATCACGTCTCTCTCGAAAAACTTACAGATTTCTTACTCTCATTTCATTGACTTCGCGGACTTCGTCCACGTCGGCAATAGCCTCTATTTCTTCTTCTTCTTCTTTTTCTTCTTCTTCTTCTTCTTTATATATATGGCTCTGGTCAGGACTTTAGTCCATTACAAGCGGCCACAAGCTTAAATGAATATGGAGCGTTTCTATGGGGCATCTAGCGTGAGTATTCCACGGCATTTTTTTTTTAAGATCTATGAAAATTTTTGGCCATATTAATTTAATTTTTAATTGTTGGGTGTGAAGTGTCGTCTTTTTAGTGACCAATATTAATTTTTCAATCTCGTTAGAGATTGTTAGGCTAGGACTCGGGTGGGAGTCACTCAACAGCCTAGGAATAGACGAAACGAATATTTTAGGGATCGTGAAATTTCTGCCACAGCCCGGATTTGAACCGAGAACTCCAGGGGTCTCCACGGCGATCGGAAACAGAGAGAGGAGCACCCCGGTGACCAATCACCGAGGCGGTCCAACCAGCCAGAGCCCGAAAGCTCACAACAAATTCCTCAATCAGGAGGCAATTCATGCAAGGAGCCAATAAGGAAATAGATAGAGGTGCAGGTAGAGGAATGTTACTGGAATGGACAGAAGGCCATTCTACAATGCCAATGAATAAGAAATAAGCAATAAGATCTTCATTTGATATTTACGTAATTCCATTGGGTACTCTAATCAAGAAGGAGAAAGTCGTTTTTAAAACCGAGCGTTTACTAAGTCTCTATGATTTTTATGACGTCTTGGACATAGCAACGATCCGGAAGCGGTTGCTAGGGTCTTTAAGGACTTCACGGAGCACGAAACGTGATGAATAACATCGAGCATGCTCCGTTCCGTAATTTATAACGGCTTACGTTAAAAATACATAGCAACGATACGGAATCGGTTGCTAGGGTCGCTAAGGATTTGACGGAGCACGAAACGTCATTGTCAAATGTGATTACCTGTCACCTGTCATTATCTGTCAATATGTAAATATTTAAAAAATGTGTATGCGTTTATTCATACAGATAAGTAAATCATTACTTCATTTTTAAAGTCACGATGACTTTTATCGTAGAGAAATTTCATTTTTCTAACGATATTGATAATGACCTCGTCTATAGAGCTGGTAATGACAGGTGACAGGTAATGACATTTGACAATGACGTTTCGTGCTCCGTCAAATCCTTAGCGACCCTAGCAACCGATTCCGTATCGTTGCTATGTATTTTTAACGTAAGCCGTTATAAATTACGGAACGGAGCATGCTCGATGTTATTCATCACGTTTCGTGCTCCGTGAAGTCCTTAAAGACCCTAGCAACCGCTTCCGGATCGTTGCTATGTCCAAGACGTCATAAAAATCATAGAGACTTAGTAAACGCTCGGTTTTAAAAACGATTTTCTCCTTCTTGATTGGAGGATCCAATGAAATTACGTAAATATCAAATGAAGATCTTATTGCTTATTTCTTATTCCTTATTTCTTATTATATTGCATTGTAGAATGGCCTTAAGTGTAGAACTAGCAAAGGAAGCGTATTAACTTGCGGAATTAGTAGTCGACGAAATTGTATAAATAGAGTCTACGGAGTCTAGAAGTCTATATAGATATGTTAGCCTTAGTGAGAAAGTTGTGTATTGATTCAAGTAGTTTAGGATGCATGTAGTTTAGGTAAGAAGTGATAGAGTATGTAACAGGGAGCTTAGCTTTACGAATAGAAAGAAGTAGTTTAGTTCTGAGAGGAGAAAAACGGCGACAATGCCATAAAACATGATCGACCGTTTCGGAGCCCCTGCCACATGGACATCGATCGGAGCACACGATGCCTTTACGATGGAGGCTTTCGGCCAAGGAATGGTGATTGACTCTAATTCTGGTGAAAGTAGTTATAACGGAGCGACTTAAGTTTGTGCGTGAAAACCAAGACGTTTTGGCTATGAAATAACAGTGGTTGAAGTAGAAAAGACCTTTTAGATCGTGATGGTTTGAATAAAATGCTAGACAGGCTTCTGACGCCTAGTTGGATATAGTAGGAAGCAGGTCAGTATATGGAAGACTGTGGTTTAAAAATGTGCCGGTTGTGATGGCATTTTTGGCGAGAAGATCAGCCGTGTCGTTTCCCCGGAGGCTCGAATGACTCGGAATCCAAAAAAGACGGATAGATTGCCTGTTTAATGAGGCCTGGCTTAGTTTTTGCTTGATCAAATATATAAAGTATGAGCGGGATTCATCTAGATTAAACGACTGTAGGGCTTTCAAAACACTCTGCGAGTCCGAAAAAACTGTTGATGTAGTTAAGGGGTCATCACAGTGTAAAATTTCAAAAAATCGATTTTTTTTTTCATTATCTGATAGTATACACTGTTATAAACATTCTGTCCAATGTTTATGTCGAAATTCGAATTATTTCGGTCGCTACAGCCTTTCTTAGAAGAAGGGATTGGACGGTCAGAATGGTGTTTTTCAAAACGGTGGCCACTCTCAAAGGAAGAATTTTCAAGCTATTCAGTTGAAATTTTAACAGAACATTTTTCACGTCATTTCTTATGATGCTATGGAAGCTTTTTTCTTTTTTTTTTTGAAATCTTCCTATTTTTTTTACGAAAAACTGTCGAAAAAAAGGCTAAATTTTATACGTTTTGTTCAAACCGACACCATTTTTTCAAATTTCACTAAAAACAAAAAAGCCTCCATAGAGGCATAGCGGCTTTCCTACAGATTTATAAACCATTTGAAGTTTTTGTTTGAAGTAAAATTTGCGCCCGCAATCCTGGCCACCATGGGACACCATTTTTTTTCCATTCAATTTTCCACAAATAAAAACAACGTTAAAGAATACATAAAGAAATTTTTAAAAAATCATTTTGTATATTTCATAGGTGCTTCAATTTGTACAAAAAAAAATTATACGGATTACCTAACAATCTCTAACGAGATTGAAAAAATAATGACATTTTCTGGAAAAGAGATAGTCATTAATATTGGTCACTTAAAAGACGACACTTCACATCTAATACTTATTCCATCCACCTAAAAAAAAAATCGCGAAAATCGGCTATTTTTCGGGCGGTCACACTGTGATGATCCCTTCATTTTTTATCTAGGATAAAATTGATCGCATGATAGATTGCAAGGGCTTCCGCCGAGAATATTGAGGCTTGACTAGCTATTTTAGCTTGAAAACATATGTTGAGAGAAGGGCAGTAAACGCTGAAACCTGTAAAAGGGCCATCTGGATTTTTTGAGCCATCAGTATAGAAGCAGTGTGACGAAGAGGGGGGGGACCCATTGGCGCACAGACCCAATTGGACACAAATGACTTTTCACTGCAAATTCTGTCCACTTCTAAATAGATGGAATAGAATTAGGTACGAACGATGTCTTATTATAGTATATCGTATGTGGTTCAACATTAGTTTACGCTAGGTTTAGTTAGGTAAGGTTAGAATAGGGTGGAATGTTCAAATTTCGGAGACTGGGTAGGTTAGTGAATAATTATATCGTCGGCGAGCGAGCGAAGCGAGCGAGTTCGACTGAAGAGAGCATTAAATCCTTGAAAAGGCTCCGTCAGATAAAGATAACTTACAATATAGTTGAATTAATGATGAAATATCGCTCAAGAGGCAGAAATTCGCATTTGTGTCCAATTGGGTTTGTGCGCAACTGGGCATCACCCTGACGAAGACAGGATTTGACTGAAGCATTTGTCAAACTCATTAGTCGGATTCCCTGAGCTTTGGATGGAGAGACCTTCCAATAAACTGATACTTGGAGTAAAGTGCTGAAGTTCATAATCAAAATGGTAAGGAAGAGGATGAGGGAAGTTATAAATAATTTTACCGTAATTACGAACAGAAACAAAGGCCTTATAGAGGATGAAATGATGCTTAATCTGATATGCAAAATGGTAAGGAAGAGGATGAGGGAAGTTATAAATAATTTTACCGTAATTACGAACAGAAACAAAGGCCTTATGTAGGATGAAATGATGCTTAATCTGATATATTTTGCCATTGTAGGGGAGGCACAAAAGATTCGAGAGACGACGAATCACAGGATGATCAGAGTGTGAGAAATATTTTAGGACGTATTTCTTTGCTAAGAGATTAAACCGGATGAGTAAAGGTGATTCTTTTGTTTCAGCGCGAAGCGCGCGGATTGGAGTGGACATTCTGAATTCCAGGCTAAGACGGAGAGCACTGTACTGAACTCGATTAAGTTTCATGAGTAGATTACTGTCAAGGAGTAGAAGGGCTTGACAACCATACTCTAGGACGCTTCTGATCAATGATTTGTATAGGAGGAGAAGGGTTGAGGGGTGTGCACCCCACCATGTGGATCGAAGGGCCTTGAAGATGTTCAGTGCTCTATTGCATCTATTAATGGTTTTTTTAAGGTGAGAGTTCCACGTCAATTTCCTGTCGAAGATCAGACCTAAATACAAGGCCTCATTGGAAGCATGTATCCGGTCAGAACCTAACGTAATGTAACAATCATCGAAATCACGTCTTCTTTTGGAGAAGATAACTAGTTTTGTTTTAGATGGAGAGATGGATAGCCCTATACTTTCCAAGTATTGGCAAACAGAAGTAACGCTGGATTGAACTACATTGAGACAGTCTACTAGGTTCTTGGACCTAAAGAGGATAAGGGCATCATCAGCGAATTCCGTGGAAATACAATTTGGATGAAGGGGGTTGTTGAGTTCCCTGATATATAGAGAAAAGAGAATGGGACTAAGGGTAAGGCCTTGTGGCAAGCCCTTGTGAGTGGTCCTGGGGCCAATTAAGCCACCATTGAAAAAGACGTTCCTTCCTGAGATTATATTATAGATAATACGGCAAATGGATTCAGGTATACCTATAGAACATAAATTATTAATTAGTATAGATGGAATGACCTCGTCAAACGCGCCCATAATATCAAGGAACACTGCGACCGTGAATTCACCCTCAGCGAATCCGTTGTATACCTCAGACGACAACAGTGCTAAATTATCCGTGGTAGATCTGGCCTTGCGAAAACCGAACTGCGAGGACGGAAGAAGTTAATGGTGCTCAACCCAACATGAGAGTCTAGCGAGGATGAGGCGCTCAAAAAGTTTTAGCATACATGAAGCGAGGGCTATGGGCCGGAATTTTCCGCGAGTTGATTTTGGGATGAAGAAAACGAGAAACTGGTTTCAGCTCTCTGACAGAATAGAGTCTTTAAGAAAGTCGTTGAAAACTGACAAGAGAGCACGACGAACATTTGACGGTAGTCTATATATAATGTCGTTATTACAATAATTCTATCTAAGCCCGGAGATGAACCACGTTTGAGCTTTTCAATTGCAGAGTCTAGCTCCTTTTCTGTAAATGGAGACTCAAGGAAGGAAGATTTCTGAAAAAGATACGAAGCTTTAAAGCATTTATGCAGTGCTGAACTTGGGCAGAAGGACTCTGTTAGCTCATGAAGTTTATTCGAAACTTCAGTATCCGATGAGCAAGAAGGATTTGGGTTGAGTTGCCTGTGACGGAATCTCTTAACTTGGTTCCAAATGAGGGAGATAGAAGAGGTAGGTGAAATAGATTCACAGAAAGATTTTCATGATTGTTTTTTAGCTGTACTAAATGTACGTTTGGCTGATGCATCTGTTTTTTTTTGTAGGTAATGAAGTTCACATGATTAAAAGAGCGACGAAGTTGCTGGAGAGCTTGCTTTCTTGCACGAACTGCCGCATCGCAGCTAGCATTCCACCAAGGAGAAGGACCTTTTTTTATCGATCGGTTCAGTGAAGGATTAGAAATAGCGGTGGGACAAGCCATTATTATTGAGTCTGTAATGGTATCAATGATTGTATTGTATCTGCCCGTAATTGGAGAAGAAACTAATGGTGGGGCAAGAAAGGTTGGATTGGATAAAGAGAAGCTTGTAGAGTCACGGAGAATAGTTTGAAACATGTGCCAATCCATGTTTTTAAGTCTGAATTTGTGGTTAAAAAGGTCGTTGTAAGGAAAGTGAGCATTTAACGAGATTGAAATTGGAAAGTGATCGCTGCCTAAAAGATCATCTAAGACCTTCCATGAGGACAAAGTGGCAATATTCTCTGATGCTAGAGATAAATCTAGGCAAAAAGCTCGATGATTCGGTCTATTGAGAAGCGTAGGTGAGCCATCGTTAAGAAGCACTAAATTACTGTCTAAAAGAGATGATTGAAGAGAGTTGCCTATTGAACAGGTGCGAGGGGAACCCCACGCTTCATGATGGCAGTTGAAGTCACCGCCAATAAATTTAGAACTAGAGTCAGGAAGTGAGGCGAAGAAGCTGTTCCAGTCGTTTGTCTGAGAACAGAAGTTAGATCCAGGAATTCTATAGACAGCGACGATAAGCAGAGGGCTAGCAGAAAGAGGGATGGAAACGGCTAACGATTCTAAGTGATGTGGTTTGTAGAGTGTGCTGTTCGCTTTTGTGAAGGAAATGCCCTTCCTGATACAAATGGCTATGCCACCGCTCCTTTCAGAAAGTCTGTCTTTTCTGATTATATTGAAATTTTTTAGGAAGAAAGGTTTACCGGGTGAGAGCCATGTCTCTAGAAGAATAATTATATCATAATCTACAGAGATATTAAAAAGGTCCCCTATCTTATTTTGGAGACTGCGACAGTTCCAATGCAGAATGCTAAAAGAGTTAGCAGTGCTGGCTGTAGTGTTGGATGTATTAGGCATAGTTAAGTAAGTTTGTTGATAGTAACGTTTGGTATGATAGGGAAATATATATCGGATTGAAGAGAAGTGACGGGAGATGCAAGATTATGCTTGCAGTTGAGTAAATCTGGTAAAATCTATTGATGAGAGTTTGTCAAGTATGCTATCTAACTTTTCCAGGCGTTGGAGCTGAGCAGCAAACTGTTCTATGATGAGAGAAGCCGAACTGAGGAGCGATTCTAGAATGTTTTTATCTGAAGCTAATGAAAGGATTGTTTTTTGATTGGTTCTTTCAGGACATGATAAGTCTGTTGGAAGATGCGACCCTCCACAATTCACACACGAAGACGGATTTGTGGCATTTGGGCATTCAGTCATATCTGGATTAGAGTTTTGACCACAGCGAGGACATCGTGTTGCACTGCGGCAAACCTGTTTAGTATGGCCAAAACGAAGACAGTTGTGGCATTGCCTTATAGAAGGAACGAAGGTGCTTACTGCGTAACGAATACTGAAGAGATAAATGTGAGTTGGTAAGGATTGTCCTTCAAAAGTGAGTAGTACCGTGCGAGTAGGAACTTGACTAGACTCTCCATTGAGTATGACTTTCCTTTCGAAACGCTTAGCTGCTATGATTTTTGCAAATGATATCATCACCAAAATGATATCATCTGGCGTGATGTCTGTGGGGATATTGCGAATGACGCCTTGTTTCATGACCTGGCTTGAAGGAACAAACGCAGTGAAATTAAATTTGTTGAGGTTGGGGTTTGAAATTAGGCTGCTAGCTGCCTCAGCAGTACTAACACGAACTTTGATTCGGTTTTTCCCTGTTCTAGATGTCTCAAGAAGCTTATCCCCAACTAAGTTATGAATGTTGCGGCCTACAGTAAGTGGATGTAGGTTGACTTGTGAGTTGTCCTCACGATTGGTGCTACAGGGTTGAATTGTTAAGGTATATTGTAACGTTTGTCGACAGTGCAATTTCATACGCTCCTTATGAGTGTACGAAATGGGATGTAGGTAAGTGCTCGGGGCTGGCGTCTTTAAGAATGTAGTCGACACTGGTGGGTAAAGTAAAATAAAATAACAAAATTTTATTAAATAATCGATAATCGATACAGTAGTTTTGGAATAGGTGCCAATTACCCATTCGTGATTAATTGTCGGTATCGTAGAAAATAGGATTGCCTACGAATCTGCCTCTGTTTGTCGTCTATCCCTATCTCTCTCTGACCTGTGTCTGAGGTACAGAGGATCTGCCGGTGTTGATTCGATAACCCTAGTGGCGCTTTGCCGACCTATTGGCTATGGCACTGTGTGCGACGCAACTCCTATCGGCGCGGATGACAGATTACAAAATGGCGATAACTAAAGTCTCTGCGGAAGATCACGGTGGTCTCCGCAGAACTTTGAAAATCTTTCCACGTGAGGTCTACTCGGAATAGCGAGTGCTAATGTTCCGTAGCCTCTCGACACGATTATTAACGATGAGTTTTCTGACCGACTTACGATTCTCCTATTTACCGATTCGGATTCCCGATTAACTTTCGATTATCCTTTCTAATGATTCGAATTGTTGACTAACTTCGATTCTCTTGAAATGTCGTATTTCACGAATTGTAATCCATCCGATATTTGTTAGCGGGAAGCACTAATCATCTATCGGATTATTTTGATGCTAACTTTCCTCGTTTTGACGTTTGGGAGACGTTCTCCATCTATCGGCGCGTGTTTATACTAGCCGCGTGTCCTTGTCGTCCCTTTGTAACGGGTGCGCTCTTAGTACAGGAGTACTGAGAGGCTGAACGTTTTGTCACGTTACAATATGGACCACGATGTTCCTTATTATACCTATTTTTTAGCGCTTGGCTGAGAGGATTGTCTGTAGACTGAGAATTGGATTGGCCACTAGAAGAGTTAGGGTTGGCGAAGTCAACATCCTGACTTTTGCGGATAGTTTGAGTTGGCATGTTACCTGGAACTACTATTGTGGTGGTCATTGACTTGGGTGGTTTGGAAGAGTCATCTTCACCTGAAATGGCACCAGAACTTCTTTTGAGAGATGAAGGCTTGTTCCTATTCTTGTGGGTCACAGGTATGAAGTCACTAGAAGAGGGTGTAGGATGCGAAGGATCTGAAGAGGAAAAAGGGAAGGCTTCGCTTTGTAGAGAGGACAATGCTTGAGCAATATCTGTGTTTGTTGTTTCAGGCGTGAGAGAGGCAGAATCAACCTCCATAATGACAGAGGTCTTCACCGGCCGATTCATGGGAGGACCACCGCCGCTAGCGGCGGGGTTAGACATGGCACGAATACGCGCCCGCAGAGGAAATAAGCTAAGGTGGTTTTTTTAAAAGGAAAGCAACGAGAGGAGATGCTTAGAAGAAAGAAAGGAGGTAGTAGTTAGTGGTAGCAAAGCGAGGGTTGACCGCCAAAATGGCGGCCCACGTGGAAGACTAGGTTAGAGTTCTATAGACATTTGTTATTTTGATAAATAAATGAGAAACAGGAAAAGGAGGATGATAAATCCCTATGGAACACACAAGCCCAGACTTACAAAAAAGTCCAGCCACTAAGGCGCAGTGGCACAGACTTCTTTGTCAATAAATAAACTAAACTCTTAAGCGTAAGCGTAAGCACGTCCGCACGCGTTCGTGGTCAAAAAGGAACTCTAGCCTCTATTTACTCCGCCATATTTGAGCGACCTGTCACTTTAAACATGCCCCTGCCCACATCTCCAAACAGGTCGCTGTTAGTCACAAGATGGCGTCTAATAGCGCGATGTCAAATGTTTAAAAGCGGTTCTGAATAGGCTTTTTCGCTAATAGCGCGCTATTAGCTGTTAGTGACCTTAAGAGTGACCATAAAAGCGGTTCTGAATACGATCACCTATAAACTCATTAACAAATAATTTAAAAGCGCGCTATTGACACTAAAAGCGAGTTCTGAATACGGGCTTATGACTCTAGATGGCGTCTCAAGACCATCCTTAAGGCGGTCTTAGAAATAAGTATCGACTATGAATACGGTGCGGAGGACGTGGTGGGGGTATGTCAAGCATATACTATAGTAAAATTGTAGTTACAATCCCGGCGGGTAGATGGCGCCCCGAAAATCCCAAGTGTGGACACACGACGTCACCACACGCCATCGTGTAAAGGCGGCTGCAAGCAGGACAATAATAGAAACGCGCCTGAAACAGGGGCACCGTGTGAACGCGCCCTATTAAAACGAGCGACGCTACGCCTCGCGTGGAGACAGTTACAAAATCGTTCCTACTCAACGCTAGTCTAAGCAACAAGTGTGTATCCGAAATAAAATAGTGTCATCCATCCTTTGTTGTGTATTACTATGCAAATTATCACAAATACGGCTTCTTAGCTACAAACATAATCTCCTATTCCCTACACAAGCTATATTGTGGCGCTACCTTTGAGTAGGGAGTTGTACTAAAAGAGACTGTAGCACGCACGCGCAAATTGTGTGTAAAAAACAAGCACCATTTGTTCCGAGTGATATTAATAACACAAACAACATTCTAAATAGAATTAATGATGGAGAAATTGTAGGATTTATCACGTGTATCAAAGATTATATAATAGAAACGAATTTCAGTGTTATAACTCTTATTGCTTTCTATTGGGAATGTATATTTTCGGATCGTAAATCACATATGTAAGTGCACAAAATAAATATAAAATCATTTTCTTAAATAACTATGTGTTACTTGTTGTAGACATTACTTTAATTTTTAGGGTAGCTTCTCATTTATTTTTATTAATAATTTAGACAAGATGAACATACGAATGCATTTAAAGGAAAATCGTGCATATGGTTTATCTGTCAATTATGCGGTAGCGCAAATGACTTAACTACTGAAATATAAGTTCCGAAGAAAGTATATAAAGTACATGATGCTGGTTGATAGGCAAGGCATTGGGTTAGGAGGCTAGAGGTCTGTGGTTCGAGACTCTCCGTCGGAAGTTTTTTTTTCTTCTTCTGGACGTTATGATTTTTTTTTAAATACAAGGTATTAAGGAGGTTAAAGCGCTTCACCCCGGTCAAATCAGTGCTCAATATTTTTTATCGTTTTTACAAAGTTTGATGAATTAATTTATTGCAGTGAAGTGTAATTTGTATTATAACACGTGCCATAAAATTATAGGCACTAATTATTAGTGCCATTTGTATTATAACCCGTAAAAACATTCAGAGCGATGAATTTACAATAATATTACCAGACCAATATTACATAATGCACTAAATTTACAAAAACGATTACTAAAATTTAGCACTGATTTGACCGGCGTGAAATGCTTCAACCTCTTCAAAAGTTGTATGGGCTGCACGCTGAAGGTAAAAAAAATCGAACCAATTATCAATTTTTTTCTAATTTTATTTATTACTTTCTTATAATAAAGGCATCGACAACGATAATCTACGGCCTTCTACATCACCCAAGAGGTGCCGTAGTCGATGCGTTCCCATTATTTAACGTAGCGGGTCCCCACTAGGACAATACTACGATCGAAGATAATAACGCCATACAAATAAGCCATTTAAATAATTAGCATATAAGCAAATCACAATAACGTAAAAAAATGGTTCGACTGAAAAATCTAAATAACATGCGCTCTGTAATAAGAAATAAATTTTGTTCATCGAAGATGAATACTAAAATTCTCGACTATAACACTATTTAACCGGACTAAACTCTATTTAACTGGACTAATGCTGT